AAGAAGAAAGAAGAAGAAGAAGAAAGAAGAAGAAGAAGAAAGAAGAAGAAGAAGAAAGAAGAAGAAGAAGAAAGAAGAAGGGCTCCAGGATTATCTTCTGTATCTGTGTTAATTGGTTCCCCTTTTCTTTGTTGAAGAGGGTCTGTGCAGTCTGTCTGCCTATTCTGCCATCTTACCGGAACTCTTGAAATTACATCTATGTATTTAAGATGTTGCTAACACAGTCCTTCAAGGGAAATATATAGCAGTAAACACCTCTATTAGATAAAGGAGAGAGATCTCAAATCAATGTCCTCACCTGCTACCCTAAGAAAAAGAGCAAATTAAACCCAAAATAAGTAAAAGAAAAGAAATTGAAGGTCATGGTGGAAATCAATGAGATAGAAAAAATAATAAATCCAAAATCTGGTCCTTTGAGGAGAGCAGTAGAGTCAGTTAACTTCTACTTGGACTGATTGGAAAAAAAAGAGAGAGCACATAAATAGCCAGTATTAGGAACAAGAGATGTGATATTACTGTAGAGCCTATGGCTTTTCAAAGGACAGCAAGGGGACACATGAGCAACTTCATGAATATATACTCAACAGCACAGATGAAATGGAAAAGTCTTAGACACAAACTGCCAAAGCCCACTCAAACAGATAACCCAAATAGCCCCATCACTATCAAAGAAGTGGAATGTATAGTTAAAGCATTCCCACAAAGAAAGCATCAAGCCCAGATGGCCTTACTAGTGACTTCTACCAGCTAAGAAAGAAATAATACCAATTCTATGCAAACTCTTCTAGAAAATTGGAAAAGAGGGAATATATCCCATTTGGTTATGAGGTTAGCATTACTCTGATGCCAAAGAAAACAATGACATTAACTCCCAGAAAAGAAAACACCCAAAAGCTACAGGCCAGGATTTTCATGAATATAGATGCGAAGTTTCTAAACAAAAGTTTAGCAAATTAAATCCAACAGCATATAAAATGGATAATACACCATGACCAAGTTGGGCTTATCCCAGTAATAGTTCAGCATTCAATCAATTTAGCTCACCATATATTTAAAAAATAAATAAAAAACATATGATCATTTGACAGAACTCAACATTCATTCCTGATTAAAAACAACAAAAACCACTTTAGTGAACTGTTTGTAGAAGGGAACTGAGAAAACTAGAGCTAGCATCATACTGAATGGTCACAAATAGAATGATTTCCCATCAAATTATGAATGAGATAAAGATGTGCCCTCTCACCACTTCTATTTGTCATTGTACTAGAAGTTCTAACCAATACTAGTGAGAAAAATAAAAGCACTGTGGTAATTAAATTTGTATGTCAGCTTAGCTGGGCCTGGTTGAGTGGCTGGGCAGCTGGTGGTAGTTATTCCCTGTGATGAGACTGGCGATCAACTCCATGGTGGGATCTACCACAAGCAGCTGAGCAGCTGCCTTTGGGATGTGGTCTGCTTCCTGTACATAAGGAGAAGCCTCGAGGATGCTTTCTAGTTTATGGCATGTTTGAACCCTGCATGTAGCCATGTCATTGTTCAGCAGCCTGCCATGCTCTGACAACACTGGGACTTACAGTGGACTTGAATTAATGGCCTGCCATGTGGTTTGGTAACATCAGGACTGTGCCAATTTATTTGTCACCCTTGGGTTTGCTAGCCTCAGCAGCCAGGAGCTGCCTCAGTGAAGAGGTGCCTCTGGCTGCAGTGGGCCAGGAGCAAGAGGCAGAGCTGAAGCTCAAGGTTAAGGCCCTTTTACACAGCTCCTAGAGCCTGGCACTTTGAAGTTGGACTTAAAGCCTCCAAACTATGAAATAATAAACTCCTGTTTGTTAAGGCCATCCCATTTCTGGTATATTCTTGTCAGAGCAGCACTAGGTAACCAGAACAGCACCCAGATTGGAAAGGAAGATGTAAAACTGTCTTTATTCTCAGACAGCATAATCATCTATATAGAAAATCCTATGGACTCTACCAAAAACATAAAAGCTGCTAGTGCCAATGCATTTAATAAGGATGCAGGATACAAGAACAATATACAAATATCAATTGTACTTTTATATCCTATGAACAAGAAATCAAATATTAAAATTTAAAAATAATGCCATTTATAATAGCATAAAATATGAAATTCAACAAAAGATGTGAAAACATGTACCCTGAGAACTATAAACTTATTGCAGAAAGAAATTAAAGAAGACCTAAAAAAATGGAGAGGAGTACCATGTTCATGGATCAGATGATTCACTATTGTTAAGATGTCAGTTCACTGTAAATTATCTATAGATTCAATACAATCTTATTAATATTACAGAAGACTTTTAAAAGTAGAAATTGACAAAATAATTTTAAAATTAATATTGAAATGCAAAGGACCTAGAATAATGAACACAACTTGGGGAAGAAAAATAAAGAAGAAAGTTGGAGGTCAAGTACTATCCAATTTTAAGACTTCTAAAACTACAGGAATGAAGAAAGTCTGGAGTTAATGTCAAAGTAGACAAATAGCAGTGGGACAGAATGGAAAACATACAGACAAACATACATGCACAGCTGATTTTCAACAAAGATGCAAAAGCAACACAGGGACAAAGCAGAGCCCTTTCTTCAAATCATGCTGGAACAACTGGAAATCTTCAAATCATGCTGGAACAACTGGAAATCTTCAAATGATGCTGGAACAACTGGAAATATGCAAAACCTGGCCTTCAAAACATGTCTCATATCATATGTAAAAAAAAAAAAAAGAGAGAGAGAGACTCCAAATGGATCAAGGACCTATAAAACTTTTAGAAGAAAATCTGTCTGCAACCTTGGGTTTGGCAAATATTTCTTGGCCATGACACACAAAGTGTGATCCATTGGAAAACAAATCGATAAAGTGGACTTTGGCTCTTCACACAACATTGTTAAGAAAATAAAAGGACAAGCCATATATTGGAAGAAAACATTTAAAAATCATGTATCTGATAAAGGCCTTGTGTCCAGAATATGGAAAGAACTTTCAAAGTTTAAGGAAGCAAGCAACCCAGTAAACATGGTCAATATATTTGAGCAGACCTTTCTCCAAAGAAAATGCTTGGATGGCAGATGAGCCCCTGAAGGGGTCATAAGCATCATTTGTCACCAGGGAAAGGACAGGAGTAACCCTCACAAGAAACCTCACACATCTGGTAAAAGAGAGGCGTTCAGAGACTGGCCACGCCCAGTGATGGCGAGGCTGTGGAGAGGCTGGGACTCTCATTCTCTGTGGGCAGAATGTAAAATGGGGCACCCACTTTGGAAAACAGTGGTGGTTTCTTTCTTTTTAAATTATTTGTTGTGATTTGGGTACAATTCTATAAAGCAGCTTTGTTGTACACTCAAAAGTTGATACACATTTTGTTTAAACAGTGGATGTTCCTTTAAAAGTTAAATGTATACCTACTGTATGACCCAGCCCTTCCACTGCTAGGTCTTTACCCAAGAGAGGTGAGAAAACATGTCCACACAAAGACTTGTACATGAATGTTCCTGGTAGCTCTATTGTAAAGCACAAAGCTAGAAACAGCAGGTGGATGGATAAAGGAACTGGTCCATCCATACAGTGGACACTACTCAGTGATGAGGGATGAATGGGAGCAACATGGATGAACCTGGAAATAATTTTACCGAGTGAACTGAGCCACAAAACAACAACAAACCACACCCACTGCCTGGAGTTGATTCTGACTCACAGCGCCCCTAGAGGACAGAGTGGAACTGCCCACAGTGTTTCCAAGGCTGCCAGTCTTCACGGAAACGGACTGCCTCATCTTTCTTCTGAAGAGTGACTGGGGGCTTGAAACCTCCAACCTTTTGGTTTGCAGCCCATTGCTTTCACCACTGCACCACCAGAGCTCCCTAAGCCAGACCGAGGGTGACGTAGTCTCTGATTCCATGCGTACAAAGAGCTAGGAAAGGCAAGCAAGATGGGTTTGCAGCTGTAGCTCCAGAGGACGGCTCAGCAGCTGCCTGTGGCGGGCGAGGTGCTGGCAGAGGAGGAGGGAGGGCCTACAAAGGGACACGAGAGAAGGTCGGGGTGACGTGGTGACGGAGTCATGGGTGTGGACATGTGTTGAGGCCACCACATTCTGTGCTCCATGTGTTCCTCATGTGTTGACTGGACCTCAGCGAAGCTGCTTTAAGACTCGGCTCTCACCAGACCCCCCCCCCCATCTCATCCGCAGAATGTGAACACCCCCTTGATGAGGAGGCTGGCCACCCTCAAGCTCCACCTCGCAGAAGTATCTCTGGACATGCTTCAGCTTCTCTGGGAGGAGACCCTGGAGCAGCACTTGGAGCAGGGCTCGATGGGTAAATTGCTCCAAGAGTACCTGCAGGACACGAGGGACTACAGCTGCGTGGGCCTGGTGATTATCATTGCCACTCTTGGTTAGATCTCCCAGGAGAGGCCAATCGGGAGACAGCGTCACAGCCAAGCTCACAGGCAGCTCTCCTCCCCAGGAGGGGATCCCTTCACAAGGCGCCTGGCAGGGCGAGGGTTAACACTGCGAGTATGGGAGCCCTTAGTTCCACTGTGTGTCCCCTGAGGCCCTTGACCACAGGTGTGTCCCTGCCACCAGGGGCTTCCAGGCCTGCTGGGAAAGGCATCCTAGAACAGGACAATTTATTGTTGCCATGGAGAGTTTATGAGCCCGTCTGTCTTTCTAGCTGATCATTGGAGGGGACTTAATTGGCTAATAAAACAGAGGTCTTGTTGAGCAATGTTTCCCGGGAGGCATTTATGACTTTCCTTGGGAGTCACAGTTGTGCTTTGGCTCGTTAGGGTGCTACATTAAAGAGCTCAGTGACGGTGAATCACAATTTGGGTTTTTTATTTTTTTAAAACAAGACGAATCTGCAAAATATCATTTGTTTTAAAGGCTCCTATTCTTCCATCTTAGACATTTTCTTAGATTTTGTGACTTGTGAATCAGGGTGACATGACATAGATTTAAATTGACCAGACAGCCCTGAAATTGACCTTGGTGAGTCATGTCCATCCCTGAACAAATCAGTCGAAGGCCAGGTTTACCCAAAGCCTTAATGGACTGCCCAGCACCTGGAGATCCCTGGGGCAGGCTCCCTGCAGAGCAGAGGGTGTGTCTTGAAGCCACCAGGACCTGCCTCCGGGGTGGCGCTCAGGGGATGCTGACTGCTATCCTTGGGGGTGGCGTGTCTTGTCCCATCACAGTGGTGACAGTGGCATGGTTTGTGTTCTTGAAGAAATGGTTCACGCTGAAGCGGACCCTGGCCCACATCACGCTGGCCCAGCTGGGCAGCTTGCAGCCTCTGTGCACCGGCTGTGCTGGGACCCGAGCTCGAATGCTAGGCCTGGCCGGGAAGGCCCTGCACCTGCTGGCCGTGAACTCAAACCCCGTGCGCCCCACCTTCCACTGGGGTGAGAGCCTCCTGGTACGTGCCCTGCCTGTGTGCCCCACTTTCTACTGGGGTGAGAGCCTCCTGGTACAAGCCCTGCCCAGCTCAGTTTGGGCCTCGGACCTCGTCTCAGTGGGGGACCCGGCATCCATTCTGCCACATTAGGGTATGTCCAGCAGGTGCTCTCTGGGAACTGCATTTAGAACACCGCTGACCTCCAGACAGGACTGGAGCGGGGAGCGGGTTTGTCACCACCTAGAAGGGGCGTGGCCTGAGGGAGGAAGAGAACAGGTGAGACACAGTCAGGGCAGCAGTGCTGGAGGAGCGTTGGAAGAAAAGAGGGGCTGCCCATGAGGTCAGCAGATGGCAGGGACCCTTGTGCCAGGTCCCAGCCCCCAGGCCTCAAGTCTCCTGACCCCACTGCCCTCACCTGTGTTTCTGCCCTGGGTGCTTCTGGGTCCCCGGCCTGGAGTGGGGCTGGACTTTGAGGTGATTCTAATGGCCAACAGGGTGGGAGGAGCCCATGTACCCTAGAGCCCCACGAAGCCAGACCGAAGGCCTCGAGGCCACCCCCCCACTCACCCCAGCAGGGCACCCCCAGGAGTCAACCTACCCACTGGGCCCTCCAGGGGCGGCAGTGCCCCTCAGTGATGCAGAGCCCGTGGGCTGCAGCCATCAGGCGGCTCTGGTGGTCGGTGGGGCTCAGCTCCCCATGTTCTGAGGTCAGCCGAGCATGTTCCCCACATGGCAATGAGTGTTGGGGGCTTGGGGGCTCCCAGCCTGGGACCTGCACCCTCAGGGTGAGCGTGTGTGATGGGCAGCAGGCCAGACAGAAGGCTGCTGGCTAGGCAGTTCGAGCAAAGTCAGGGCTCTTTGTGGCAGGCCGAGTGGATGGGGAGGGGGTGCCGTTGGATGAGGTGGGGCCTGGGCTCACCCGTCCAGGGATCAGGACCACAAAGGCAGCAAGAGGCTCGCTGTGCCGAGTCAGGCTCTGGGCGGGGGTGCTGCTGTGCACAGGGAAGGGCCCAGCAGGACGCAGGGATGCGGTGGTCAGGGGCGGCTGCACCTCCTCACAGAACTTCCAGGGCATCCCCCTCCACCCCACGTTGTGAGGTTAAATCAGACTGGGGCACTGGCCCAGGGGACCTCGGCACGAGAGGTGGGAGGCAGGGCCGTGGCCTCTGTGCACAGCCCCACAACCACGTGGACCATGGATGCCCAGGAGGGAGCATCCTCGAGGTAGCAGGAGCCTGAGGCCGCCCTTCTGCCTGGTTCTCTAGGTGGAGGCCAACCTGAGCAGCCCCAAGTGTCCAGACGTTGAGGGGGATGAGGGGCACGGGGAGGAGCCCAGCAGGGAGCTGCCGGCCTTCAGGACGCTGCCCGAGGGGCACAGCAGGAAAGGCGCCGAGCTGAAGGTACTCGCCCCGTCCAGCCCCCCTGGTCTGCTCGAGCCCGCCCGACCTGACCCGTCTGCCCCCGGCCCACCCCCGCAGAAGAGGATGGTGCTGGCGCAGCGGTACCAGGCCCAGGCGTCCGAGGTACTGTTGCAGGGCCTGCAGGCCGCACTGGGTGCTGGGATCCTAGATGTGGCGGCGGCCACCAGCCTAGAGATGGTGGAGTGTGTGGGCACCCTGGACCCCACCACCACCCTCCTGTTCCTGGCGCTGTCTCAGGTACACTCCGAGAGCACTCACTCAGCCGGGAGGAGGGGCCCCAGAGTCGTCCCCCCCCCGCCACCCAGGGACCTGTGGAGACTGCACGGGCCCATCTGTGTCCCCTGAGGGTGCCCCAGGTCCCAGCCGGCAAAGCCCTGCCGCACCGTGGGTCCTGCTGCAGTCCCCCAGACAGCACAAGCCGGCCAAACCCGTGTCCTCGAGTCCCTTTACTGAGACCCCAGCGTCTGGACAGCCCCTGTGCGGTGCCGTGCCTGTGCCTGGGCGGCCCCTGTGTGGTCCCGTCCCCGTGCCCAGGGAGCCCCCGGCTGCTCTCTCGCAGAGCTGCGTGGCCTCCGAGGCGATGCGGGACGTCCTGCTGGCCGCCGCAGCCAACACCAGCAGCTCACAGCTTGCGGCCCTGCTGCAGCTGCAGCACCGGCTGAAGAGCCAGGGCAAGGCGGCCGCCAGCCTGTCCACCGGTGTGCAGCAGAGACTGGCTGCCACCTCCAAGGTGAGGGCCGCAGGGGACAGCCGCCCGCCACTCGCTCCCACACACGCACCAGCTTTCTCACCAGCGTGAGGCCCTAAGAGGCAGCGTGCAGCCCCAGCCAGCTCCCACCCTCCAGCTGCGGAGGGGAAGGTGCTGCAGTGGTAGCTTCGCCTCCCGAGGCTTCAGGTTCCTGAGGGTAGGAACGGGACGGCCCACCTCACAGGGCTGTGGGGCGTGTCCGTTAGCAGTCATACATGCTCAGCCCAGGCCTGATGCTGAAGACTGCATGCATGTGTACCTCTGCATGCAAATGTGTTTGCATGTGTTCAGTTGCATGTGTTCACATGTGTACATGTGTTGTTATGTGCGTGTGTTGCATATACATATACACGTGTGTATGCATGTACATGCACACACGATTTCATGGCAGCATAGGCTGCATGTGTGTCTGTATGCATGTAAGCATGTATGTGTGTATGTACAAACATGTTTGTATGTAGATGAGTGCATGCATGCGTGTGCATCTGTGTGTGCACATTGTCAGTGTATACACATTTGGTATAGGCACTTGTGTGCATACATATTTGCATGTGCATGAGTGTCTTCATGTGTGCACATGTATCTGTGTGTACTGTGCCTGCATGTGCACAGGTATCTGCATATGCATATGTCAGCATGTGTGTCTTCATGTGCACATGTGTCTATGCATGTGTGTCTGCATGTGTGCATGTGTGTGTATGTGTGTATCTGGGCACGTGCGGCTTGTGCATGTGTGTGCACATGTGTCTATGTGTGCATGTGTCTGTGTGCATGTGTCTACATGTGTGCATACTGTGTCTGCACACATGTGTGCATGTATGTCTCTGCATGCATGTGTGTGCAAGTGCATGTGTATCTGCATGTGTCCACGTGTCTGTGTGCACATGTGTCTGTGTGCATGTGTCATGTGTGAGTGCTGTGTCTGTGTGCATGTATGTCTCTGCATGCATGTGTGTGCAAGTGCATGTGTATCTGCGTGTGTCCACGTGTCTGTGTGCACATGTGTCTGTGTGCATGTGTCATGTGTGAGTGCTGTGTCTGTGTGCATGTATGCCTGTGTTCACATGTGTGTCTACGTGTACACATGGGTGCATGTGTGTCTGCATGTGCATGTGTATCTGCATGTGTGCATATGTGTCTCTGTGTGCACGTGTCTATGTGTGCATGTTTGTCTTGTGCATGTGTCTGCATGTGTCTGTGTATGTGTCTTCATGTGTGCATGTGTGCGCTCACATTTGCATGTGTGTGCATATATCTGCATGTGCACATGTGTCTGTGTGCATGCGTGTCTGTGTGCATGTGTATTCATGTGTGTGTGTGTGTGACTCGAGTGCAGCTGTCACCCTCTTGTGGCAGCTGAATATCCTGCAGGGGCTTCCAGCAGCGTTCCACACCCACCCCAGCCCTGAGCTAGGAAAAATTAAAGTCTGAAGATCACCCCACCCCAGGGTCAGGGCCCACAGTCCTGAACATTGAGACCCAGGGCTCTGCCCACATCTCTGAAAAGCCGTGAAAGAAGTGCTGTGGGCCATGCCCCTGGTCCAATGTGCCCATTGTTCCATCAATGGCAACACAGGCCTGGCAGAATCTCTGGGTCACCGAACAGCATTTCAACCTTCTGAATGAGATTCCTCCCTCTTTCCGGCTCATCTTTCTGCACCATTCACGAGACAGGTGAGCTCCGTGCTCCTGTGCAGGGCCCCGCCCCCACCTGTCCTCTGCATACAGTCTGGGGGGGCTGTCCTGAGGAGCCCACCCCTCCAGGCGGCCCCCCCAGCAGATGCCCAACCTCGCCAGGCTGCCTACCCCCACCAGATGGCCCACCCCTACCAGGCTGCCCACCCCCATCAGGCGGCCCACCCCCGCCAGGCTGCCCACCCCCAGCAGGTGCCCACCTCCAGTGGATGGTGGGCGGGTGGGCGCAGCTCCCATCTGAGATGAAGTGTGGGGCAGGGTTCCTCTCCTCTCCCCACAGCCCCTGCTGACCACAGGGAGGCCTTGGTAGGATGAGGGCTTGGGGGGTGGTCCCCAGCCTCCTTGTCTCCAGCATAGGGCTCTTGGGGTTGGGACTGAGGCTCTGAGGTTAACAGGAAGCTGCCTTTACCTCTCTCGCTGTTGAATAGATGGCTGTGGTGTCAGAGCTGTGGTCACTACCAGTCACTGCTTTGACTTGGCCTGTGGCCTGGCTGGACATCCAGGGGCCCAAGCCCCAAGGGGAGACTTGTGTGGGGCACCCTTGCACCTACTCTGAGGTGTTGTGCATGGGACAGGCTGTGCCCCCCTCCACCTCCCACAGGTCCCGTCTCTATGGTGCCGTGTATGAGAGGCCCAAGCTTGTTCCAGCCCCCAAAGGGAAGCTGTTCCCGAATGGCGGTGAGTCCCTCCTCCAGACAAGGTCACTGAGCCTCTGTGTGGACACCACCGCCATGCCACCTCCAGAGTTTCAGGGCACAAATGTCACGCTGCCCTTGAGTCCCAGCCTCGAGCGGCCATGGGACAGGGCTGTCCACAGCTCCCTCTGTCCATCTCACCCTGTGGACGGGCAGTCAGCAGGAGGTCGAGTCAGGGCAGCTCTCTGGGTCACAGCGGGCTCTTCCCAGCCACCAGCCTGTACCAGCCTTTCTTCCTCCTGTGGCCAGAAGAGGGACCAATGACTCCTCAGACCATATCGGGGGTGGGGGCCCATGGTGGCGCACCCTTTGCCATGCCGTGGAGACGCCGTGTCCTCAGTGCTATTTCGAGGGAGCTGCCCTGCTGCTCCCCTCACCCCTGCCTTGCCCCTCCCTCCCTGGTTCAGCTTAGCACTCGGTAAAATGGGCCCCCTGGCTCGAGACCACATCTACTTTGCAGCCTGAGAGCCGCCCTGTGAGCCCTGGACCCCGAATGTGTCCCCCACTGCTGCAGGTGACCCCGAGATGTGGAGCTGGACTTCGGTCCTTCCAGACAGCCGGGCACAGGGGCTGTCTGTGGGATCTGGCCCTCTTTTGTCTCTAGAGCCTCTCTGCCAGCACGGGTGGCCTCTCTTCCCAGAGCAGCCTTTCTAGGCATCTGACCACGGACACTGGACACGTGGGGAGGCCATCCCGGGTTCCAGAGCCCCTTCAGCAAGAGTGGGGGCTGGGAGGAGCCCCTGTGGCACCCTCTGCTCCTGCAGTGGGACATGCCCCGTGGTGTTTGAAGCAGACTGTGGCCTGCTCGCCCTCGTTTCCCTCTCCGCCCAGCCATACCACTGGCCCCAGGAACTGCTGAGGCCCCTCCCACTGTGATGGGCTGGGCCTGCAGGGTGTCCTTCCAGGGAGTCACCCTCCGTGAGCGGTCCAGTTGTGAACACCAGAGCAGGGAAGCCCTTCGTCTCCAGTGCACGGCCCTCAAGGCGTCTGTCCCTCTCACATGCGGACTTCATAGAGTCCACTCCCCTCACACAGACTCCCAGCGTTCGCTCACCTCACACCCAACATCAACATTTGCTCTCCTGCATGCCTGGCACTGACCCTCGGCTGGAGGGCAGGGCTGCGGCTGCTGCAGACCCTGTGTCTTCCCCCCTGAAGGCTGCTGCAAGGTGGCACGGGTGGCCGTGGACCCCAGCACCCTCACACACCTGCTGGCCAACATGCAACAGTTCCAGGGACAACCCCTGGTGGAGTCCTACAGTGAGGACACAACCTTGCTTGCTGGCTCGGTGAGTCGCCTGCAGCCACAGGGCAGGGTGGTAAGGCCCATCTCTCCAGTCCCTGCACCACATCTGGCCCAGATTGGCAGACAGACACCTGGGGACAGGCAGCTGAGCAGGGTGGCCTGAGGGACCCTGCCCTGAGAGGCCAGCAGCGGGCCCATGGAAGATGGGTGGCCCCTGCACTCCGGGGCTCATGTCCCTAGGTGGGAGGTCCGGGCCAGCCCTTTTCTGGAGCCTCACCCCCTGCTGTGAGCTGGACCTTAGAGGCTTTCTGACCGGGTGCTGCTGGGGTAGACACAGGTGTCGGAGACCACTCAAACTCAGGAGGACGAAAATTACCTCCGAAGATTTAACAATGTCCTGAACCCCTTGGAGGAGTACCTGAAGCCACTGTTCCCGCTGATGGCATGTCCGGAAGCCAGGTGCCCCTCAGCGCCCCTCCATGTCGAATCTGCATCAGCACACATGCCTGCCAAGCCCATGGGACCAGGGTGGGACTTCCCAGGGGGCCGTTAGCCTGGCAGAGTGGAGCAGCTGACTGGGTAGGGCCCTTGGGCCAGGCAGGAGGCTGTAAGAAGGCAGGGCCCTGTCTCCCTCTGAGCTGGTGATACGGACTTGCAGAGACACTGTCTCCGGTTTTGATGTCATGACACCATCTTATACACCTTTCACTGTCTCTGCTGAAATCAGGCTCCGTTCTGGTTAGAGCCTGTCCTTGGGGGGCGCCCCCTCCTTCTCTGGGTCTGACCCAGGTGTGGGATGGGTGGGACATCAAGGGCACCAGGTCTCTGTGGTAGGAAACATGGATCAGCCACTGTTCCTGGTTCTTCACTTGGCACAAGGCCTCCCAATGGAGCATGAGCCCTTGGCGGGGTGCTTGTCAGTTTCCGGAGGCATACTCGTGACCTGGATCTGCTTTAAAAGCCTGGGTACACACCTCTGAATTTCAGAATACAGGCCCCCACGTTCATCCCAGAGTCGGGGAAGTCCAAGGCTAAAGGCAAAGAGAGGAAGATGTCTGTAGTACCAGGTGAGTTGGGGCTGTGTGCTGGGGCCACAGCTTGACTTGTCACACTCACAGAGGCAGAGCCAGGCACACCCAGCCCAGCTGAGCTGTGGCGGTCACAATGTGAGTTCCCAGTACAATGGGGCCCACGTCAGCGATGGCACACAGGACCCCTGCCCCTGCCTCTGAGAGTCGCCGAGGGCATGGGGCTCCAAGAGAGCAGGTGGGCCAGTTCCCCCAGGAGCTGCTCCATGCCAGCCAGTGACTGGTGCTCTGGGTGAGGGGCTGTGTGGGGCTCCCACAGCTGCAGTGGCTATAGGACATGTCCTGGGGCCCCCAGGACGAGCAGCCTGAGGTACGATTTCTTCCTTCCTCCAAGCCAGACTAGGTTAGACCCATGCCCTAGGCAGCCTTGAGCAGGTGTATGTGTGTTCATGTGCATGTTTGTGTGCATGCACATGTGTGTGGGTGCACATCTGTGTGGGCATACATGAATTGGTGGCCTCCCTCAGTGAAGAGGCACAGCTGGGAGTCAGGGAAACCAGGCAACCCATGATGGCAGGGCTGCATGTCAGACAGCAGAGGGTTGTGCCGAGAGAGGACCCAGAGATCTGCAGGGGAACCCCATCTTGGGCCAAGTACTGATCCATGCATGTGTGAGAGGAAACTTCCCAAGTCTGGGAAGAACCACCAGCAGGAGCAGAAGGAGTGGCCCTTGGACTCACGTGGGGCTGGAAGAGCCACGTCCCCACCAGCCAGCCTCATTCATGGGCATTGGGTGGTGTGACTGCAGCCCCACCACAGAGATCAGCAGCAACCCTTCAAAGGGTCATACATGAATTGTGTGTGTGCATGAGTGCATTGTGCACATGTGTATGTATGTGTGTGCACATGTATATCTGTGGTGTGTGTTGTGTGCACACATTTGTGGCATGTGTGTGTATGTCTGTGGTATGTGTGTATATCTGTGGTATATGTCTGTGGTGTGTGTGTATATCTGTGGCATGTGTGTGTATGTCTGTGGCAGGTGTTCATGTCCATGGCATGCATGTGTGCATGTGTGTATGTCTGTGGCATGTGTGTGTCAGTTTGTGGTGTGTGTATGTCTGTGGCATGTGTGTGTAATGTTTGTGGTGTATGTCTATGTAGTGCGTGTGTGACATGTATGTGTCTCCATGATATGTATATGTGTGTGTGTGGCATGTATGTATATGTGTGATGCATGTATGTGTGTGGCGTGTGCATGTATGTGGTGTGTGGAATGTGTGTATGTTTGCAGTATGTGTATGTATGTGTGTGGTATGTGTGTATGTGACATGTGTGTGTCTGTGGCATGTGTGTGTCTGTGGTGTACGTCTGTGGAATGTGTGTGTATGTCTGTGGTGTATGTAGATAGCATATGCATGTGTATGTGTGTATGCCTGTGGCATATATGCATATGTCTGTGTTGTATGTAGGTGGCATGTGTATGTGCATGTGTGTCTGTGGTGTATTTGCATGTGGTGTGGGTATGTATGTATATTGTATGTGTGTGTCTGTGGTGTGTGTGGCATGCGTGTATGCCTAGGGTATATAGTGGTGGCATGTGTGTGTGAATGTGTGTATATCTGTGGCATGTGCATATGTGTGTAGGTTTGTGGCATGTGTGTATTTCTGTGGTGTGTGTAGGTGGCATGTGTGTGCTCATGCATGTGTGTGGCATGTGTATGTGTGTATATGTGGTGTGTGTATGGCATGCATGTGTGTATGTGTGTGACATGTGTGTATATGTGTGTGGTGTGTGTGTATCTGTGGCATGCATGTGTGTCTGTGGCATGTGTGTGTGTGTGTGGTGTATATAGGTGGCATGGGTTGTGCATTTGTGTATGTGTATGGCATGTGTATGTGTGTATGTGGTGTGTGTGGCATGCATGTATGCCTGTGGTGTATGTTGGTGGCATGTATGTGTGCATGTGTGTGTGTCTGTGGCATGTGCATGTGTGTGTATTTTGTGGTGTGTGTGTATTTCTGTGGTGTGTGTGTGTGGCATGTATGTGTCCATGCATTTATGTGGCATGTGTATGTGTGTATATGTGGTGTATGTTGGTGGCATGTGTGTATGTGTGTATGTCTGTGGCATGTGCATGCATGTGCATGTTTGTGGTATGTGTGTATTTCTGTGGTGTATGTAGGTGACACATGTGTGCGCATGCATGTATGTGGTGTGTATATATGTGGGGGCAGCATGCATGTGTGCATTGTGTGTGGCATGTGTGTGTGGTATGTATGTATGTGGCATGCATGTGTGTCTGTGGCATGTGTATGTATGTGGTGTATATAGGTGGCATGGGTGTGTGCATGTGTGTACGTCTGTGGCATATATATGTGTATGCCTGTGGTATATGTAGGTGGCATGTGTGTGGATGTGTGTATATCTATGGCATGTGTATGTGGTGTGTGTGTATATCTGTGACATGCATGCGTGTCTGTGGCATGTGTGTTTCTATTTTGCATGTATGTGGCATGCATGTGTGTGCGTGTCTGTGACATGTGTGTGTGCATGTGTGTGTCTGTGGTGTGCATGTATCTGTGGCCTGCGTCTGTGTGTCACTATACATGTGTGTATGTCTGTGTTATATCTAGGTGTCATGCATATATGCATGTGTGTGTCTGTGGCATGTGTATGTGTGCATGTCTGTGGCATATGTAGGTGGCATGTTTGTGTACATGTGTGTATGTCTGTGGTGTATGTGGGTGGCATGCATGTGTGTATGTGATGTATATAGGTGGCCTGTGTGTGTGTGTGCATGTGTGTACATCTGTGGCACGTGTGTGTATTTCTGGTGTATGTAGATGGCATATGTGAGTGCATGTGTCTATGTGGTGTATGTAGGTGGCATGCATGTATGCATGTGTGTATGTCTGTGGAGTGTGCATTCTGTGGTTTATTTAGGTGGCATGTGTGTGTGCATGTGTGTAGGTGGTGCATGTGTGTGCGTGCGTGCATGTATTTCTGTGGTGTGCACATGTGTATGTGCATATGCGCATGTGTGCGTGTGTGTGTGTTTGTGGCATGTGTGTGCATGTATGTGTGTGTGGCATTTGTGTGTATGTGCATGTGTGTGTTCATGCAGATTCAGATGCACAACACCTAGCCATCATGTCAGCCAGTATCACTTCCTGTTGGCAGCTCTGCTGGAGGCTGCAGACCACGTCATCCTGATCGCGGACCTCCACCTCCTGGAGCTACCACTGGAGGGCCTCTCGGTTTTTGAGGAGGGGTCGGTGTCCTCTGTGTCCCGAGACTTTTCTCTCCAGATGCTGATGAACCGTGTCCGCAGGGAGGACACAGGTGAGAACTGGCCTTGGCCACAGTTACTTGCATCTGTGCAAATGATACCAACTCCTGCCAAAAACTGATGCTCAGATGCAGCAGCGTCTCCCAGGCCCTCACATACATCGGCACAGCTGCTCTGTGAAGGGCATTTGAGGCCCTTGTCCCCTCACAGGGGCCACAACTCAATCGTAACAGACATAGCTATTTTTGTCCTCTGGTTTAGGCCTGGAGATGCAAGGGCCACTCAGGTTCTGCCACTGGGTGCTGGTGACAGGGGGGCCCAGTCTGTGAGAACTCCCACCACTACACACTTAGGACATGCCACACACCCACAACATACCACACACCCACAATAGGTGTAATTTTCTCATGATGTTGCACCTCAATAAAAAGGACTAGAATTAAAAATAAATGGATGGACTGCTGGTTCCATCCAAGATGGAGTGACAGGGATGAGGTTTATCCTTCCAGCTGAAACAACTAGAAAACAGACAAAGAACATGAAAGGACACCTTTCAGAACTGGACACCAGATAGTCGTCCCCAAGAAGAACAAATGAGGGAGCTCCATTGAGGCTGCAGGCAGGGGAGGAAACCAGGAGAGCTGGTGGCCTCCCTCAGTGAAGAGGCACAGCTGGGAGTCAGGGAAACCAGGCAACCCATGATGGCAGGGCTGCATGTCAGACAGCAGAGGGTTGTGCCGAGAGAGGACCCAGAGATCTGCAGGGGAACCCCATCTTGGGCCAAGTACTGATCCATGCATGTGTGAGAGGAAACTTCCCAGGTCTGGGAAGAACCACCAGCAGGAGCAGAAGGAGTGGCCCTTGGACTCACGTGGGGCTGGAAGAGCCACGTCCCCACCAGCCAGCCTCATTCATGGGCATTGGGTGGTGTGACTGCAGCCCCACCACAGAGCTCAGCGGCAACCCTTCAAAGGGTCAGACTGTTTCCAAGCTTAGCTGCATCTGAGAACAAAACTCAAGAACATTTATAGGAATGAAAGGTATCCAGTGCCCAAGACCAAACCAACCAAGCTCACAGCTGTCGAGTCAGTTCTGACTCATAGTGACCCTCCTTGGGTTTCTGAGGCAGTATCTCTAACGAAATAGATTGCCCAGTCTTCCATTCGAGGAGTGGCTGGTGGGTTTGAACCGCCAGCTTTCTGGTTAGCAGTCAAATGACTTAGGCAGTATCCCAGCAAGGTGAAAGTCACAGTGTCTGACACTCAGTTGAAACTTACCAGGCATGCAAAGAAGCAGGAAGCCACCACCTGTAATGAGGAAAAAGCCACCAGAAATTATACAGATGATGGAATTTGTGGACGAGGATATAAAAACACTTGTCCTAACCATATCCCATGCATTCAAGAGGGAGAGACAAGAATGATAGGTGCAGCCCCAGGAGATACGAAGACTCAGATTAAACTGGCAAGCGTCCTGCATCGTGTGGGAACGGCCAGTCAGGTGGACCTGGAGCTTCCGCCATGAGGTCTCCTGGATGCACCTTTCCAAGCCCTGTCACCCTTTTCATGTGGGACACTATTGCTGTTTCAGCTACACGAAGACGTGGAGTGGCCTGTTCCCCCCACTTCCCATCCCCCCACTCCCTATTATCCCTATTTCCTGTTCCCCTCACTTCCCATTCCTTCCCACTTCCAAATCCTCCCACTTCCCATCTCCCCACTTCCCATTTCTGCACTTCCTGTTATCCCTACTTCCTGCTCCCCACTTCCTGTTCCCCTCACTTCCTGTTCCCCCACTTCCTATTATCCCTACTTCCTGTTCCCATCACTTCCCATTCCCTCCCACTTCCCATTCCTCCCACTTCCCATTCCCCCACTTCCCATTTCCCCTTCCTGTTATCCCTACTTCCTGTTCCCTATTTCCTGTTTCCCCCACTTCCCATTCTCCCACTTCCCATTCCCTCCTGCTCCCTGTCCCCCACTTCCTATTATCCCTACTTCCTGTTCCCTTCACTTCCCATTCCCTCACACTTCCCATTTCTCCCACTTCCCCACTTCCTGTTATCCCTACTTCCTGTTCCCCACTTCCCATTCTCCCCACTTCCTGTTATTCCTACTTCCCATTCCCCCACTTCCAGTTCCTCCAACTTCCTGTTATCCCTACTTCCTATTCCCCCACTTCCCATTCCCTCCCACTTCCTGTTGCTCTACTTCCCATCCCCCACTTCCTGTTATTCCTATGTCCCATTCCCCCCATTTCCTGTTCCCCCATCTCCTGTTTCCCCCACTCTTTGTCCATCTTTACAGAAGGGAAGGAAGGCAAAGGCAAAGAGCCTAAGAAGAAGAGTCCCCCAAAGAGGGGCAGGAAGGTGGGTCACAAGAGGGTTCCAGGGGCTCGAGACCCGTGCGGACCAGCATGCAGCTCCTGTGCAGGGTTCTGGCCCAGCTGGCTGAGGGCCATCTCCAACACTCCTGTGTGGCTTAGGGAACTGCGCTCCGCGTCCTGCCCCCGGACTGCATTGTGGTCGACTCCGACAACTTCAAGTGTATCCTTTCTGGCCTGTGGCCTGGTGCCTCAACGTCCTGGCATCCCCGACACCCTTGTGCCTCTGCTGCACCCCGACACCCTCACACCCCTGATGCCCTCACACCCCTGATGTCATTGCACTCCCTCTGCCGCCCTGTTCTTCTTGACTGAGACCCCAGTCGTTGTGGACCCCTATGAGGAGGCTCAGAGCATTGGTGAGGCCTAAGGACAAGGCAGCCACACCCCACTGGGGGGGGTGTCACCCCTCACACCACTGGGGGGGCTCTGTCACCCCCCATACTACTGGGGGTCTCTGTCACCTTGTATCACCCCTCATACCACTGGGGGGCTCTGTCACCTCCTGTCACCCCTCAAACCACTGGGGGGGGCTCCATCACCTCCTGTCACCCCTCACACCACTGGGGGGGGCTCTGTCACCCCTCATACTACCGGGGGGACTCTGTCATCTTGTATCACCCCTCACACCACTAGGGGGGCTCTGTCACCTTGGGTCACCCCTCCACTTCACTTCCCCTGTGTGAGGGTGGGCCTTGGTGCTGGACCTCGCCCACACGTTGGTGCTACCACGGCCACCTGCTCACCATGGCCATGTGTGCCCAAGGCCCCCCCTCACCCTGATTGTCATGTCAGACACAACCTCTGTCTGTGACCTTGAGCCCGAGTCAGCATCTGGGCCCCTCCTGGGCCCCAGAGTCTGCATGACTCCTTCCCATTAGCTCCTTCAGTTGAGTCAGTTTGCAAATCACAGAAGAGAGGGAGGGGCACTGGCATTCCTACATGTGTGCCGTGGCCCTGAGGGCGGAGACCAGAGTCTTCAGGACAGATGTACAGGGGAAGTGACTGTGGTCACACGCCACCTCCAATATGCTCTCCCAACCCATGCACACCCAGCCCACACATGCCTGACCCACACATGCTTGTCAAACACGCCCATCCTGCACACGTTCCAGCCGTGCATGCTCAGCACATGCCCGGCCCGCACACACATGCCCCTACACCCCCACCCCAAGCCTGTCTCAGTGCCACGTGTGCTGCGGGCAGTGGACCCTGTCACTTTCAGGTCTCCTTGCAGAAACGCTGACTCCCGTCTTCGTGACCCGGGAAATTCTGGAGAGATTCCGAGACTCGTTCACTGCCCGATGGGTCGGACATCTTGGAAATAAGTACTTTCCGAGGTTTGGGATCTGTGTTCCCAGGACGCAGTCTGATGTCATAGATTAGGACACACTCACGGGGGCAGGGGGCTCTCTGACCCCTCCAAGTAGACATGCCTCCTGCCAGGGGACTGTCCAGAGGCCCTGCCTCCCTGCACCCTTCCGTGCCCCTTCCCCTGCCCCCCTCTACGTACACACCCTTCGTCCATACACCCCTTCCCCATCTGCCCCCCCAACTCCTCTCTCCCACTCACTCCTCCCCGTTCCCTATCCCCTCTCAGCCATCCCCCAGCACCCCCCACCTGCCATGCTCCTTCTCCCGGCCTCCTCCTTGTCCTCTCCTTGGGCCCTCTGCCCCCTTCCCTGGTCCCCTGCAAGTCAAGCATCAGGGTCAGGGCCACTCCAGGGTTCCGCCATCCTGCGTGGTCTCAGGCCTCTATAGGGTCCTGGGCCCCATGTTCCAGGGACTCCCGGAAGTCTCTGAACCCCAAACCTTGGCCTGAGTCCATCCAGCCATGTACCCTCAGCTACCCAGGCCCTCACCCACAGCTCTGCCTCTGGTCCCTTGACTCATGGCCACCCGACCCTCCACAGGCTCCCCCTCCTGCTCCCTCAGCCCTTTCTGAAGCCAGCCCTCAGTTCCCTTCCCCACCCTGATTCCCCCTTCGCCACCACCTTGCTCACCCGCCCTCCCCTTGCCCCCTGAGCAGCCCTTTGGTCTCCCCAGGCCTGGTCCTACCTCTGCTCACTCCTCTGGCCACAGCCGGTCTTGTGACGTCACCCCCCGGGGGCTCATGCGTACCCCCCCCTGCTGCTCCATCCATGGCCTCCCCAACGCGCCCCCCAGTCAGGCTGCAGGGGACCCTCCTCTGTCCGGCCCACAGGGCCTAGGTGGCCGAGGCCCGAGCAGTAAGGAAGGTCGCAGGGCCCCTGCCTCCCTGTGGGTGCACAGTGGCCCGCTGAGATGGGTGCCAGGTGGGGTGTACAGTGCTGGTCAGCGGCTCTTGTGCTTGGCCCTGGACGTTCCAACAACTGCCGCTGGCACTGAGATGGTGTTGGTCACAGCCTGAGGCACCCCCCCACCTCCACACAGTGGGTGCCTACTGCAGGGGCGTCTCCCAGAGCAGTGGGATGGGGGTGGGCGTCACAGTCCTTCCCTGCCCGGAGCGCACTCCCAGAGCGGGTTCTGCCAGGACGGCTTGGCTCAGGGTGTCACCCACTGGACGTGTCTGTGCCCTCTGTGGCACGGCTCCCTCTGGTGCCCAGATGAAAGGTGCCCCTGACCGCCCTCTGCGCCCCTCACAGCCAGGCAGACTGGGAGCAGGTCCTCAGCAGTTGCCAGGGCTTTTTCTTCTACGGGATGGAGAGCTTCCTGTCACACATCTTAGTGGAGAGGCTGGCCGCCATGGACTTGCAGGGTAAGAGGACCCTGCGGGTGCAGATGAACCACCCGGGGACCCCCAGCAGCCCCTCTCCACCTCTGTCCCCTCCGCAGGTGGACTTCTTCCTCCACCAGGCCTGAGCCAGGTCAGGGGTCGGAGGGGAGGGTCACCCTGGGGGCCCAGGCCTGGTCCCCCCCCCATGAGCTGTGGCAGCCCCTCTAACCCGGGGTGCTGCTGAACTAGTTTGCATCCCTACCTGTTCGATGGGCTTGCCATGTGCTGGGCCAGCACGGCCAGGGCATCCCCCCAATCCCACACCCCAGAAGCCCTCAGTCCCAGCAAACCCAGGCGCTGGTCACCCTGCAGAGGCATGGGCCCTAGTGGGGCTCAGAAGTCACCTTGTGCTGTGGGTGCCCCTGGCCTCCCAGGCGTGAGGGGAGCCCTGGCCGTGGTGGGTGGCTGTGTGGGCTCTGCCAGGTCCCATCACACACACCCACACAGAGCTGCCCTCCATGTACAGAGTGCCAGGTGATGGTTCTGCTGGACTCGGCACACTCCTTTGAAAGCACAAGGCGGCAATCTGAGCTGGCAGAGAACAAGAGGTGGGCCCCACTGGGTGAGCTGGGTCCCTGTGCGGCATGGGAAGGGCCCCCGAGACAGGAGGGCCAGGCTCAAGGATGCCTGTGGCCTCCACACATCCTATGATCCTAGGGTGAGGTTACTGGCAAGCTGGGGCCCAGTACAGAGAGGGGCGAGGTCGCTGGCTTCTGAGCCCCACGCTGGGCCCACTCACGACCTCACAGGACCCTTGCCTGATGCAGCCTGTGGCTGGAGGGGCTCCCGAGACACCATGGCCGCTCGTGTGGCACTGTGGGAGCCTGTGTGCTCACCATTGGTGCCTCAAGGCCGGGCCCACCTGTCCTGTGCCCGTAGCGTCCTCCAGCTTTCCCTGGAGAGGCCCGTCGAGACAGCGGTGCTCCTGAGCCTGGTGGGTGTCAGGAGTGTTCTGCAGAACCAGTGGCCCACGACGCTGCAGGCTAATGCCGTGCGGGCCAGCATCCTGTGGGAGAGTGAGTGCCAGCCAGGTAGATGGCGGGGCCGGGCCACCTCCCTGGGACCCAGCTGAGAGGTCTCTCCCCCTAGATCTGCTGGCAGTAGGGAGGCCAACGGGGAAGACTGTCCGTCTTATCCAGAAGATAGGTGGCAGTGAGGTAGCCAGCCAAGGTGAGGTTACGTATGCCCCACTGTCACCACACACCCCCACCCCAGCCCGTGACTGTCCCTGTGAGATGGGCCTCCTTCTCCAGTGAGGCATACAGAGATTCTGAGGCCTTGGCTCATAGCCAGAGGGGTCCTCGTCCTGGGGCCACAGACACCTGTACCCCGGGGGTGTCCACTGATGGGGCAGAGACATGCTCAGCCTTCTGGAAGGAGGGCCACCCTGGAGCCGCACCAGCAGCTGAGAGGACTCAGTGCTCATGGCACTGACCAGCTCTCCTTACACAGCTCAGGCCGCCAGAGCCAGGACGATCACACGGGGCCGGGGGCCGCACAGGGCCGGGGGCCACACAGGGCCGGGGGGTAGCATAGGGTCGGGGGGCCACACAGGGCCGGGGGGGCCACACAGGGCCGGGGGGCCACACAGAGCCGGGGGCCACACAGAGCCGGGGGCCACACAGGGCCGGGGGGGCCACACAGGGCCAGGGGGCCACACAGGGCCGGGGGGTAGCATAGGGCCGGGGGTAGCATAGGGCCAGGGGCCTGCATAGGGCCAGGAGGCCGCACAGGGTTGGGTCCCAGGAGCCCATTCTGGGAAACATCGAAAAGTTAAGTGACATGTGAGCTTGGACCACATCCCCCAGAACCCCACCAGAAAACAAACTCCTAGTTGAGCAGCATGCCCAGTGAGTGAGGGAGTGAATGAAGGAATATATCAGGGAATGAGTGTGTATGAATGAATGAATGAATGGGTGGGAGAGTGTGTGAATGAATAATGAATGAACGAGGGGGTGATGGAATGTGTGAATGAATGAGTGGGTGAGGGAGTGAGTGAATGAATGATGAATGAACGAGGGGGTGATAGAATGTGTGAATGAATGAGTGGGTGAGGGAGTGAGTGAATGAGGGAGTGTGAATGAATGAATGAGGGAGTATGTGAATGAATGAACGAATAAGTGGGTGAGGGATTGTGTGAATGAATGAATGAGTGGGTGAGGGAGTGAATGAACGAGTGAATGAACTAATGAGAGACTGTGTACCTGGAAGATGGTGGGAGGGGAGCAGGCCCTGCAGTCCTTCCTGAGCCCACACCGCAGACACAGATGTGCCCCCAGCCTTGGCTGGGGGAGGAGCAGCACGTGGCCTCGCGATGACGCAGAAGAGTTAGATGGCACAGAAGAGTTAGATGGCCGCAGCCGGCCTCACTGTCATTTAGTGTGGACTGCAGGTTCTGTCCCCATCGTAACACACTTCAGCAGCAGGTGTTAAAAGGAAGGGCCCGGCGCCTCGGGTCACAGACCCCTTGAGGCTAATGGCTGTGGTCTGCAGAGGGTGGGGGATGAGGAGTGAGATGGCCTTCCTCTGCCCCAGTGAACGTCATGCCAACAGCTGCTGGGCTCTCTACGGATGAATCCGCTGGGACCTCCAAGGACTTGCTGGCGTCCCTCTGGTCCCAGCTGCGCAGGCCAGAGTGGCTCCCCGCCGCCCTCAACTTGGTGCTGTATGGGTTGCCCCACCAAGTCATCGGGTGACAGCCCTTGGGCCCTGCCCCTCCCTTTGTCCCACCTCCACGGCCCTTGTCAATCTCAGGCCTCCCTTGTGGGGTGAGCACTAGTTCTCTGGGGGCAGCAGGGACTCAGCCTGCCTGCTGCCCAGGGTGGGGAGAAACGGGAAACACTCGGAGAGGTGTGGGTCCCCATCTCTAAAAGGCTCCCACACACCTCCTCCTGAGGTCAAGGGGCCCCTCAGGCTGGGAGGTGCTGCCTCTGTTCAGAAAGAACCAGGAATGGTGGGACGTTGGCTTTTGGTTGAAGGGTTTTAATAAACAAGCAAGCAAACCAGAGTGTCTGTGGCACCTCCCACTCTCCGCCTGGAAGGCCTGGAGCCCCCAGCAGGCCGGCGTTCCCCCCTGCCCCCTGCTGGGCACTGCACGTTCCCCCAACCACGTCCCCCTGACCTGGCCTCCACTGCACATGCCAGCTCTCTGAGCCCCACATTCCTGTGTCCTGGCGGTCACCTGCCCTTCCCTTAGCTTCCCTCTGCCCTCACCGTGTGGCGGAGGCTGCGGGAGGAGGCTAGGATCTCAGCGCCTCCTTCTGGGGACAGAAAACAGTGTGGCCTTGAGGCTGACCCCCAGGGTGCAGAAAGGACAGAGCAGACCCACAAGGACAAAGAAAAGGGCCATCCCTGACTGAGAGAGGCCCCAGGGTTAAGTTCTGTCATCGCCTGTGGTCACTGCCCCTGACAAGCCACGAGAGAGGCCACCTCTCAGCGGGCTTTTCCAGGTTTACCCAGCCCCAGCCCACCTCCACTCCAGGTCTATGGATTTCCCCAGGGGCGCACAGGGCCTGCTCTGCCCACGCTGGGTGGGGGACCCAGGACTGACCCAGTGGGGTACTGAAACAAGGACGCGTTAGTATCACACGTGTGGGGGCAGAGGTGGAAGGTGTCCCGACCTCATACCCCAGACCACTGTCTCAGCTGCGTGTGGGTCCGTGCTGAGACCTGCTGGGTCCAGCAGTCTTACGGAACTGAGACAGTCACACCTCGCAGACAGGCTGAAATAAAGACCATACGTGCAGGCGGGGCAGCAGGGAAGCTGGTCCCCAGGCTCTGCTCTGGCGCCATGAGCTGCCCAGCACTCGGGTCACACTTGGCTGTTTCTCAGAAAAAACTAAGCTTGCAGCCACCACATGGCCCAGGACCTGCACCCAGGACAGTCAGCGGCTGAGGCCTGGGACTGCCACCCTGGGATGGTCATTAGCTGCGACCTGGGACGTGCAGCCCCAGGGCGGTCAGAGTCTGTGGACAGCTGGGTGTTTGGTTTCAGTGCAGACAGAAGTCTGCATCTCTTGGGGAGACATGACCAGGAGTCATTCCTGGGGGCACGCCAGCCTGGTGTTGGCTGCGGTGGTCCACCAGCTGTGCACGGGGGGGAGGGGTGCACTGCACAGAGCCCCCTGACACACAGGTGGTGCTGGGCATGTCACCAGCGTCTGGTTTCCACACGCACCCACCCACACTCGGCCTCAGTCCCCGCCAAGGACATGGCGTTTGGTAAAGTCGAGGGTCAGCAAAAGCAAGGGAGCCCCTCAGTGAGTCGGACTGACACTAGCCACAACCAAGGACGCAGACAGCAACCTCTGAAGGTGGTGCTGGCCCGGTGGCCTTTGTTCCTGCCTTCCGGAAGGCTGACCAGAATCACTACACTCCGTCCTGTGATCTGTAATTACCTCAATGTATTGTTTTAAGGCACAGCCTGGATAATTAAAGATCATGGCTCCCTGCTGTTCTGTGTGAATGTGTTTCTTTTTCAAATGTATACTTAAGTTGCTCCGGTTTAAAAATGAAAGGAAGGAAGGAGCCGCCTAATGAGGAGGGCATAAATCCTGGCCGCGCGGCGCGGGAAATATGGGCTTTCTTCTGGGGAGACGCTGGCACCCACCCAGACAACAAGAATAAAAGCTTCTGGAGATATTTCATCGCCACCGCGGCCCATCCTTTACCTCCTGCGGTGTCCACTTGCGAGAAATATGGGGCGCTGAGCACCGCGGGGCGCGTCGCAGGCGTTAGGATAACTTTGTGAGTTATGTCCCAGCAACGTGACGGATCACTTTCTCAATTAGCTTCCATAACAGGAGTGGCATTCTGTCATATATTCAAGCAGGGACACTGCTCCCGTGAAATTTATGTAACCCTAAAAACTGTAAGGACGAGAAGGATCACTCAGGATTTATCGGTAATAGGACACAAAACGTAATTCGAGCCGTGAGCTGCTCCCGGGTGAGGACAACTGGCCCAGGTCCCAGGGGCACAGAAAGGACCGGGCTGCCTGGCGCAGAGGGCCTGGACCCCTCCCGGACATGCCCGCTTCCCCAGCCTGGGTCAGGTGACCTGGGCGTGCGGGCGGGCGTCCCAGCCTCTGTGCCCTCTGTCAGGAGACATCACCGAGTAGACGCGGGTGGAGGCAGGATTGTGGTCCGGCCTGCTCCGGGGCGGGGCCCGGGCCTGTGGCCAGCCACGCAGGATCCCCCGCTCACACCCGTGTACAGAGGGGCGCCTTCCCGACCCCCGCCCTGCCTCCGACGCAGACATTTTGAAACTGTCAGTTTGCTTTGCTTGGCATGAAAATAGTGATTTTGACATTTTAAAAGCCAAGGCTCAGCCAGGGCCCTGGGGACTGCTACTCGACCTGACGGGGGCACAGGGCCACTGACGTGCCCACGTGAAAATGGCAAGGCAGCCCTGTCAGGTTATACATGCGTCCTCGCGAGGAAAAGGCTTCAAACTGTGCTTGGTGGTGGGCAGTCTGGAAAACACAAGATCACAGGACAGAGGACACTCAGTTCCCCCGGCCCCCACAAGCGCCTGCTGGCAGCAGGGCCCTCCTCACGGGCACAGGTCCCCACTCGGGCTTAGAGCCTTCTGGGCCAAACAGTCCCCTTCTGGGCTAGGCTCCACCCTTCCTCCACTAGCCTACTTCCCTGAGGGCCCTCCCAGAGGGGAGCCTGGCCTGGAGCTGGTCACCTGCTCCCCCAGTCAGGGCCCACTCAGCCGCCCCCTACTCAGGATCCAGGGCTGACGTCTCTCACTGTGGGTCATGGCCACTCCTCCTTCAGAGGGCTGGTGGCCCAGGGAAGGCCCCCCGCGCCCCCGTTCCTCACTCCGTCCTCAGAGACAGCACATGTGGGCCCAGCAGGGTCCCTAAAGCAGGCCGGGCCCCTGCTCAGCTCCTTCTCCCCACCCCCAGCCTCCCCACCTGGCCTGGCTGCCATGATGTCCCTGTGGAACAGTGGCACCCGACTGCCTGGGTCCTGCCTGCTTGCACCCTGGCCCCGACATGGTGGGCTAGGCCGCTCTCCCTAGAATTCCACCGGAAGCTTCCAGGGCTTCGGTGGGGCCAAGCCTGCTCAGCCACCTTCCCCCCCGCCACCCCCCAGGTGCTAAGTCACTGTCGCAGCCAACACAGACCCTCCAGCCTGATTGAGGGTTAAGAAATCAGGCGGGTTAATAAAATGGAAGCGTTTGTGGCCACGTGCACATGCTGCCTCATCCGACTGGTCTCCAACAGTTTAATTTCTGTGTTAAATAATTAAAACTCTATTTTCAGTTGCTGTGAGCAATTGTTTTCCTTAATGAGCCTCCCCGGGAGGACGGCGAGTCTGCATCTTATAAAAATGATTGAATGCCATCATTATCCTGAATCTCTGACATACAGCACAGCTCCAAGACGGGCCACGGGTATTCAATTAGCTCCGAGACGGGCCACGGGTATTCAATTAGCAGTCGCCCGCGTTAGGACAGTGTGACTGCACGCCACCGCAACCCCAGCGTCCCTCGTTCTATTAGGGCGATGATGAAGATAGAAACAGCCCATGTCATTATCCCATTTGCAGCAGAGAAATCCATTTTCAGGACGTGTTCGCCCTTAAAGAAAAAACCAGAGGCCCACGTTCCTGGGAAGGGGGTATCTGGCAGAGCTCCTGGCAGCTCCCACCCAGGCTTGGGCCTCAGGCCACGGTCCCGCAGGACTGGCGGCCCAGAGAGGTGCCCACGGGGCAGCAGGAAGCAGGGAGCCCCAAACCTGGGCCTGGGGGTGCTGGGCCAGCTCACATGGAGCCCCTTCTTCTGGGGACCCCTCCCTGCTGCTCAGACCGAACCCACCGCCCTCAGCCGGCCCAACACACAGCACCCCAGTGTCAGAGCAGAGCTGGGCGCCACGGGGGTCTCAGAGGCCGATGTTTGGGAAAAATGTAAAAATCAGGCTTTTCTTCCGAGGAGCGTCTGGTGGACTTGCACCTCCCACCTTTGGGTTAGCAGTCGGGAGCATCTGAGACCCTGGCCTCTCAGAGTGTTGCCCAGAGGCGGCCTGTGGCACAGCAGGCGCGGCCTCTGGGCCCACCCACCTGGCCTCCAGCCAGGCTCTGGGGCTGCCCCACTCACGCTACCCTAGCTTTCCAGAGCTCGGCACTGGCTGGGGCTGGGGCCAGGGCTTTACCACAGCAGGCACGTGGCTGCCCTGTCAGGGTGACTCAGGGGACACTGCCCCCTCACTGCTGCACCATGCCGGGCAGCACAGCCAACACCGTCTAATTGACGTTTTCATCACAATTCACGGAGACCCAGCAGCGGCTGCATTAATGCCCGCCACAGCCGCTAATGGCTGGGACGGAGCTGACGGAACGCGTTCCGGGGGCGATTGCCGATGCGTCATCAGAGATCTTAATTCCAAGACAAGAAGCAGGAGCGCCTCTAAGATAAGGTGGGAGAGCGGCCCCTGCCTGTGCCCTGGGGTCGGCGCCCCCACTCTGGGTTCCAGGCACCCGCTCTGTGCCATCCCTGGGGGGGGCAGGCACTCGAGGGAAGTGGGGGTGGCTCACCCCAGAACACCTCTGGAGCGACCCTCTAGCTCACAGACACCCCAAAGCACTGGGCCTGGGCCCATATCTCCTCTGAGGGTCTCTTCCTGGGGAGCCCAGGCCTTCGTCCCTGCCCTCTGCGGGAGCTGGAGACCCACCCCTAATGAAGCAGT